GCGATGACGCCACCCTGGGGGGCTCACTGGCGACATATCGCCGCTTCCGCTTCGCTGTTTTCCCCGGAGCGGGCCCCCCCTCTCCACCCCGCCCAGAGACGTGCGGCTTCGCTATCGGTGGCCCATCGGCAATCTATCGCCGTGTCCAGTTCGACGTTTCCCCCTGAGCTCCTAACATGGCCCCTCGGGCAAGGGGTGCTTCATCGATGGGCAACGGGCGGGTCCTGACACGCCCTGCTTCTCCAGCCCCCCCCCTCCACTCCATCCTCCTTTTCCTCTCCCCCTTCGTCCGCTTCCTGCTGCGGTCGCTGCTTCTCCTCCAGCGAGTATTCTCCTTCACTCTCGCGTGAGGGAAGGCCGCCGCGGCAGACCCCCTGCTGGGAAATCTCCCGCGCCCACCGCCTCCTGGTGGCCTGTTGCGGCAGGTCGCACGGGTTTGGCGGGAGGGCCCATGTGGGATTTTTTGTTCGTGCCCTGCTGTCGCCCACATTCATGCCAAGCGCAGCGCTGTCGAGAAGTGAGGGGCCCCCTCCCTCCCCGAGGCCTTCCCCTCCTCCCTCGGCATGGCGCTATAGGGCGATGCAGCCCGGAGGCCGTGCACGAGGCTGTGGCCAAGGGCCTGGCCAAGGGGGCGATCCGAGGCCCTGCCTTCCACGGGACCCGCAGTCTGTTTTCGGGCCACCAGCCAGACCCCGCCTCCTCTCTTGCGCCCCCCATCCACATCTGCGCCCTGCCGACATTGTATCGTGCGCGTCCCTCTCTCTCTCTCTCTCTCGCTCGCTTGCTCTCCCGCTGTGTGTCTCGCTCTCTCTTTCTTTCTTTTTTTTGTTTCTCTCTCTCTCTCTCTCTCTCTGCATATCGATAGATATGATACCGGAGAAAAGCTCAATCAGGGCTATGGGGTTAGGGGGCTATAGGGCTATTGAGCTATTGAGCTATAGGGCTATAGAGCTATAGGGCTACAGAGCTGTAGGGCTATAGGGCTATTGGGCTATAGGGCTATAGGGCACCCCCGGGCACCCCCGGGCACGCCCAGGCACCCGGGCACCCAGGCACCCGGGCACCCGGGCACCTCTGGGCACCCCCGGGCACCCGGGCAGCCCCGGGCACGCCCGGGCCCGGCGCCTCCGGGCACCCGGGCACCTCTGGGCACCCGGGCACCTCCAGGCGTGCGGCGAAAATCGGCGGCAAACCTAACCTAACCATATGAATCCGCTATGACCCCTACGGAGGCAAGCTCTGATTGGGGAATCTGCATGTGTGCGTGCGTGTGTGTGTGTGTGCGTGTGTGTGCGTGTGTGTGTCTGTGTGTTAGTGTGTGTGTGTGTTTATGTGTGTATGTTCCCTCTTTCTCTCTCTTTCTATGTGCTGCTTGTTTCGCTTATGCGGGTATGCCTCTTTGGCTCTGTGGAACACCGTAATGCCCACGAATGTCACGTAGCGCATCGTATGTGTGTTTTGTTCACGCGCGACTCCGTGCTCCAGCATTCCCCCGCTCTTTGCTTGCTCATGGCGCGTTGTTGGTGGTGGTGTGTGTGTGCGCGTGTGTGTGTGCGCGTGTGTGCGTGTGTGTGTGTGTGTGCGCGTGTGCGTGTGTGTGTGTGTGTGTGTGTCTCTTCCTCTCTGCTCCTCTCGTCGTGTCAGTAGATTTCACACTCTCTCTCTCTCGTCCTCGACATGTCGCTATACTTGTATGTGTTTGTACGCACACGCACACTCACTCACTCACACACACACACCACACACCACACACACGCACACACCACACACACCACATACACACACCACACACACACCACACACACCACACACACACACCACACACACCACACACACACACACCATACACACACCACACACGCACCACACACACACCACACACACACACACCATACACACACACACCACAAACGCACCGCACACAGACACCATACACACACTCTCTTCCTCTCTGCTTCTCTCGACATGTCAGTAGATTTCACTCTCTCTCTCTCTCGTCCTCGACATGTCGCTATACTTGTATGTGTTTGTACGCACACGCACACTCACTCACTCACTCACTCACTCACTCACTCACTCACTCACTCACTCACACACACACCACACACCACTCACGCACACACCATACACACACACACCACATACACACACCACACACACACACACCACACACACACACACCACACGCACACACACACACACTATACACACCACACACGCACCACACACACCACACACACACCATACACACACCACACACGCACCACACACACACACACACACCATACACACACACACACACACACACACACACACACACACACACACACACACACACATATACACCACACGCGCGCGCGCCTCTTCCTCTGGCCTGCGGCCACAGGCGGCCACGACGGCAACCACGGCCACGGCGGCAGCCGCGGCTGCGACGGCCTCGGCGGCCGCGGCGGCCCCCATCGGCGACGGCCCGCCGCCCCCCCCCCCCCCGCGCGGGCAGGACGTCATGTTCCTGGAGGCGCCCCGCTCGGCCCGCCACCGTGGAGGGCTCATCGACGGCGGCCCCGCGGCTCGCGCCAGAGCGCCCTGGGCCCAGACAGGGTCGCGTCGCCAAGAAATCAGGACGGAATGTGTTGCTTTTTTTGGTCATCTTCGCGTCGTTAAAGCAGCGCGTCGTTAAAAGGTCCGGTTTTGGGCCAGTTTCGTCCCCAAGGGGAGCCCTCGCCGGGCGTCGGGATCGTCCAAAAAACGACCCCGGGCCAGAAGCCGGTCCTGGGGAGAGGGTCGGGACTTCCAGGGACGCCGTCCTGAAGAGATCAGGGCGTCGCATGCCTTGGGGGTGCTCTCTCGATGTCCCCGGAGAGCTTCCCGGCGGCGAGCCCGCCGGGGAAGGGCGACGGGGCAGGCTTTCTCAGAGGGCGGCTGGGCTTCTCAGAAGCCCCTCCCTGGCCTTCTGAGAGGCCGCCTCCGTGTCCAGAGGAGGCTCAGGACCTCTTTCAGAAGGCTCGAGGGCTTCTGAGGAGCCCCGACAGTGTCCCTTCCCCTCTGGGCACGTCCCCGAGATTTGCTCCAGAGTTCCCCCGAGATCTTCGGATGCTCCACGATTTGCTCGGGCAGCGCCAAGGGGGTTGACCACCAGGAGCCTCCTGCTGAGCGGAGTTTTCCAGGATCGAGGTTCGAGGAGATCGTTGGACGTTTTGGGAGGGGTTTTTCGGCGGTATTCGTGGGGGCCCCATGGCCTCGAGGGACCATGGCGCTCTCTGGAGGAAGTGGTGATACCCCTTGGTAGCCTCGGCATTGCCCCCCACCTCCTGCGCGCGCGGAGGAGGAAGAGGAGGAGGAGGAGGAGGAGGACGACGACGACGACGACGAGGAGTATGGTACTCAATGGAAAGAACCCACTGGCTTCCTGGCCCTCAATCTGGGCTCCCTCTTGGACCTCAATAGGTGTACGGGGACTGGGGGGCGCTGTTCAGCTACAGGGCACAAACGTCTACATGCCAGCACAAACGCTAACATCTCACAACGTCTACATCTCACAGGGAAAGATGCAGAAGGTCATTTTCGTACTAGAAGGGCTCAGGCCTCTCCCGCACCCCTCTGCGTCGCCCTCGCTCGTGCGGTGATCGCACAGCTGACTGAACAATGTATGAGGAACCTTGCGGATGTTTTGACAGCTTCCTAGGTTATGTTTGCCTCTTTGTATGTCTTTTTATCCAGCCCACTGTGTGTGTGTTTCCATCTAACTGCTTCGCAGCTTCACGTCGTAGTGCACAAGTGGTTGTGGGCATGGGAGCTTTGTGCTTGCTCGTTTCAGCGCTCACGATCCCGCCTCTCGTTGCCACAGGACTGTGTATCGAACTGTGTCTGCTCGTCGTATGCCTGACGGAGATCTCTGTAACAATGTGCACTGTGCTGCCAGAAAGATGTTGTTTGTGTCATCTGTATTGTTTCGCCAGTGCACGTCCTGGCACGGGAGACTGCGGGATCATATTTTTTGCGCGACAAACAGGCTGGGAAATGTTCACCGCATCGCCGAATGTAGGCACTCTTGCCCGCTAGATGCCCTGCCGATCACCAAGGCTGCCGCCCGAGGTCTCTGCACGACCAGCCGACAGACCGAGCTGCGAGGAGGCATTGTCCCTCATTCTGATTCGCCTCCTCCCCCCCCCCATCGTCGATCCACGCTCTGTTTGTCTACTGGACTGGGGTGCGAGTCCGGGTTCTGCGGACCGTGTCGTTCGGCCGGCGCGGGACAACAAAACAGACGCCATCGGGCCGCTATTTGTTCGCCAGTTTCCGTCTGCTGCATTTTGATCCTCGATTGTGGGATGGTAGGTCCCACGGGCTGCATGCCTCCTCTTCGCCTTCCTCCTCCTCCTCCTCCTCCTCCTTCCCCATATTTTTCCTTATCCTGCCCCCCGCCCTCGCCTTCCTGTTCCGGTTCCTGCCCTCCCCCGGGGACAGGCAGGGAGGGAGGGGGAGGGCAGCAGCGGAGCAGGAACAGGAAAGAGGGAGGGGGAGGGCAGGGAAGGGGGAGGGAGGGAGGGAGGGAGGGGAAAGGGGACAGGAACAGGACAGGCCTGTTCCTGCCCTCCCCCTCCCCGCTCGTCTGCCCCCTCCGCGCCAGGACAGGGCCTGTCGAGGCCGCCCAGGACCGAGGCCCGCCTCCCGCGCAAAAGGTCCGAGGGCGCCCCGTTTTTGCGGTCTCGGCAGCAGGCCTGCGGCCCCACGACAGCCTCGCGGACTCCTCCTCCCTCCTCCTCCTCCTCCTCCTCCTCCTCCTTCTCCTCCTCCTCCTCCTCCTCCTCCTCCTCCTCCTCCTCCTCCTCGCTCCCCCTCCTACCTCCTCCTCCTCGCCCCTCGCTCCTCGCTCCTCGCTCCTCCTCCTTGCTCCTCCTCCTCGCTCCTCCTCCTCCTCCTCCTCCTCCTCCTCCTTGCTCCTCGCTCCTCGCTCCTCCTCCTCCTCCTCCTCCCTCCTCCTTCTCCTCCTCCTCCCCTCCTCCTCCTCCTCCGCTCCTCCTCCTCTTCCTCCCTCCTCCTCAGCTCCTCCTCGCTCCTCCTCCTCCTCCTCCTCCTCCTCCTCCTCCCCTCCCTCGCTCCCTCGCTCTCGCTCCTCGCTGCTCGCTGTCCTGTCCTCGCTCCTCTCGCTCCATCCTCCTCCTCCTCCTCCTCCTCCTCCTCCTCCTCCTCCTCCTCCTCCTCCTCCTCTTCCTCCTCCTCCTCCCAGGTGGACGTGAAGAAGCGGGAGGGCGCCCTGAAGAAGGCCCCGTCGCGGCACGGGGGACCACGAGGAGCGCTCTAGGAAAAGGCCTCCGCCTCCGAGGATCGGGGAGCGGAGTTGCCGTCTCTTCCGCGACGGAAGGCGCTGGAGGCCGGCGGGAGCAAAAGTCGGGCTCCATCGAAGAAGAAGGAAAAAAAAAAACGCATAAACATGAAAGGATGGCGCTCCGCGCGGATTTCTTGGATCCCCGCTGGGCCCCCCCGGCGCCGCCTCCGGCGCCGCCTCCGGCGCCGACCCTGGCGGGCTCCGCGCGCCAGGGAGGGGGGTCCAACGCAGATCCAAAAAATCCGTGCGGAGCGCCAAGAGTGTATGTTTATGCCGTTATGTTGTCTTCGATCCCTAAGAGATGGCAAGGTTTTGGGGTTCAGGGTTCTCGGAACTCGCCATGCGGAGCCGTGGCTGGCAGTAGCCGCGGGTAGGTGGGGCAGGAAAGGGATCTGATGCTTTCGGCGCGTGCTTGGATATGATTCGTTCGGTGTTTGGCCCCAGCATCGCCTGTGTTGTCATGCTCCCGCCAACCCGCTCCCGACACACATCCTGGCCCATTTGACCATGCCTGCGCCGAAGGTGAGCGCGATCTAGTGTTAAAGTGCACGCAGGTTCTTACATATCAAAGTAAGCATATGTGGCAGCGGAGGCGGTGAGCAGTTGTAGTTCATAGCATAGTCGAGACCAGCCTTCGCCTGGGTTGAAGACGGGGCCATGCGGAAGCGCTGCGTCTCGAGACCGTCGGTTGCGCGCTACGATATTCAAAGTTGCCAGTGATACAACCACATGGGGAACAGCCATCTGGCGACCACAGTTGGCACAGCGGCCTGTAGAACATCATCCCAACGATAAATGCACCCAGCTACAGCAGGAACGTTAACATCAAGTTCGGCACGGGAGACTTTGAAGCCATCACTTTGCAGAAGTGTTCGGTCATGTTTCAGTTTTACACAGGATTCCAGAGAGCAATCTCCGCAGCAGCGCTTTTGACACCGTAGAGGCGCATATTGAGGCATATGTAGAGGTGGGATCGCACTCTGGAGTTCGAGTTCTGGGACCACGGGTAACGGGACTCCGCACGCTGTCAGAGTCCTGCTTTCCCCATCATGCCCTCCGCTCCGTGGGGGTCGGGGACTAGGGCATGTGCTGGGGAGTCCACCCCGCACCCACCTACCACGTGACCAGAGTTTTTCGGGCAATAGGAACACCAAATAAAAAAGACCAGCTCGAAAAGGGGCGCAATGTCCACGTGGCTTGCACTTTGAGCCTTTCGGCAGGGTCCCATGCGGCCTCACTCATTTTGTCCATTCGTCCTCCTGAGGAACAGGAGAACGAGGGCGCACCAGAGAAGTAGGTAAGTTTTGCCGCAGCCCCAGGTCCGGCCCCCCGTTCCCCGCACGCCCCCAGAGGCCCCCGGAACACCCACAACGCGCCAAAAAGCGCTCCAGATCTACGCCGAAGAACAGATAGGAGGAGGAGGAGGAGGAGGAGTAGAAAAGGAGGGGGGAGGGGAGAGTAGGAGAGGAGGAAGACGGAAGTCAATAGGAGGAGATGAAGAAGGAGGGAGGAGTGAGGAGGAGGAGGAGAGGAGGAGGAGAATGAAGAGGAGGGTCGGAGGGAGTAAAAAAAGGGGAGGAGGAGGAGGAGGAGGAGGAGGAGGAGGAGGAAGAGGAGGCAGCAGCAGCAGAAGCAGCAGGCAGAGACAAGCCTCCCCCCTCGATCCTGCAGGGTCGAGGGAAGGCTTCCAGCAGCAGGAGGACGTGGGCGTCCGCCAGGCGGGCCCGGGACGAGGAGCTCCGGCGCGTTCCGGAACGCTCCGTGGTTCGGGGGCGGAAAAGAGGGGGGTGATGACTAGGGGGGGGTGGATTTCATGGCGGGGGCCATGAAATCTCCCCAGATCTCATGGCGCCTCTCCTTACTTCATTACGTCCCTGGCCCCCCCCCGCTGGGCCGCGCACATGCCGCCGGTCATGATTTGCACCCCCCCCTCTTGGACACCCCCCTCTTGGCCGCTCCCGAGTGGTGGGGCGTACGGGCGGGGCGCTCCGAGGCGGCCGCGGCGCCCCTATAGGCCTCCGCCAGGCCCGCGGGCTCCGAGAGGCTCCCCGCCTCCGCTCCTGTCGGGGTGCCGTCGGGGAGAGGGGGCCTCCGCACGGCGGCCGCCGAGGCGAAGGAGAAGCGGGAGGCGCAGTACATCAAGGAGCTGACGGCCGCGTACCGCGACGACGTCACCAACGGCCTCCCCTGGCCTCCCGGGGAGGGGGGGGAGGAGGAGGAGGAGAGGAGGAGGAGGAGGAGGGAAGTAGGAGGAGGAGGAGGAGGAGGAGGAGGAGGAGGCAGCCCAGGCGAAGGAGGAGGAGACCGAGAAGGAGGAGCCGGAGGCCTGAGAACTCTCCGGCCGTGATTGCGCAGCGTTTGACTCACAGCCTGACTCTCGATGTGCCGAAAACTCATGGATTCGAGCCTCTGCGGTCAGGAAGCGCGCAACGTGCAGGCTTGCATGCGCATGCAACTACAGCCAATGCTTCAGCGATCTACTCGCAGTCGTGCGCTGCACGACGTGACATGGGGGACGAGAGGAATGAGGACACTTGTAGAATCGAGACATTTCGCGTCCAGACATTTTCAGGGAGCTCCAAAAAGCACGGAACGCTGCCCCGCGAGGCATTGCGCGCACACGTGGCAGAGACGCAGGCGGAGGGGAAGCCGAGGGCGCGGGGAGGCCAGACGGAGCAGTGGCGCTGTGCCGAAGCTCTCCTTGCAAATGGCCAGAGCGAAAGAGCACAGACCACTTCTCGCCACGTGCATGGACCCCCCCCCCGCGACCGCCCCGCTCCCGGCTTCTCCCCCTGTGCGCAGTTACCCACTGTCGCTGAAGCAAGTGCTCTCGCATGCCCAGATGCCGGCCGACTTTTCAGGGGCGCCTTCCTGCTTCAGCCTTCGAGTGGTTCTCTTCCTTGTTCGGTCCCTTTGACTGGACGGGCGGAAACGCTTCCGTGAAGGAAAGGTTCCCAGGAGGCTTCGGACACTGGAGGGCTCCTTATCTGACGAGGGCGGCGGTGAGATCCGTGGCCAAGCCTCGGCTGGTGTTCCACCGGCATCCAGGCTCTGGGTTCTTCATCCGAGCGGCCGCAGGCGCGGGAGCTCGGGCGCCAGCGCTGCCGACGGCGTCCCCCTCATGCCGCCAGCCGAGCCGGTGGCTGCGGCCTGCGGCTTCGCCTCGGCCGAGGAGGCGCGTGCTCGCGGGGCGGCGGCTCGCCTGGCGACAGCGGCCGCAGCGGCGGCCGTGCGTGCGCAGCGCAGAACTGCATAGAAGTCAACTCACCACGGGCATTTTGCCCCCGCAGAGGAAAAAAATGCCCTCGCCGTCCTTGCAACGCCTTCTTGCTTCATGTTTCTGCCCACTCCTTCCGACCGGTGGGCGGCGTCTCCGCAGCCGGGCCTCCGCTCCGCTCCCGAGCTGTAAGGCTTCTCTCCCAGCGGCGGGCAACTGCCGTCGCCGGTGCCGGGCGACGTCGTCGGCGGTCCGCTGTGGCGGCTGCACGGGCGCAAGGGGCTCGCCTCGTCCTCCTCCTCATCCTCCTCCTACTCCTCCTCCTCCTCCTCCTCCTACTCCTCCTCCTCCTCCTCCTTTCACTACACATTGTTCATTTCTAGTTAATTCGTCGACAGGTCTTTGATTTTTTTGGAGAGCCAGGATCCTTTCATTTCTAATTCTTCCATCCTGGGCCTCTTCCTGGCCACTGGGGGGCCAGGAACAATTAGAAACGAGCACAATTAGAAATGAGCACGATTAGAATTGAACGGCGTGTACTGCGCGATATCCAGACACCCCCATATGGATTTGGGCTGCTGGGTTGTTTGTGCTGTAGCACCCGATGCGTTCACGAGCGCGCGCGGGATAGCGACGCACCGTTTGCGCGTCGAATGTCCACGTCGCTTCATGTTCGGATTGCTTTGTGGGGTGGGGTCGAAAGGGACGTCAAAGGGACGTCGCTCGCAAGGGCGCGTCGTGATTGGCGTGACTGTCGCAACGCCTCGGCAGGGGCGCATTTACACAGCGCGCGATCACCTACTCAGTGCAGCACATGTTGCTGCCACGTCTTTGCATATTCCGCTTTCTTTTCCCGCGTTCCTCCTCGAGTCTGGAGCTACTGTTAGTTTCCCGTTTCTCATAGCTCTTATGTTTGTGTCTTCATTCTATACAAGCATCGCATGTTCCCACCAGCCCATCCCGCTACCAGTGTCTAAAAGGTTTTTGTTGTTGCTGGATGGTCGGGGTGGATCAGGAGGCGCCGGGAGCAGCGCCAACGGATTGGCTTTGTGCTTTCGGATGGCGACCCCGCATCCGAAATTCCTATATGCCCGATCTGAAATTCAGATTGGTCTTTCGTGGAATTCCGATCCTTTCTTCCGAAGGTGCCAGCGAGGCATTGTATTTGAGATTGCCACATCAGAACAATTCTCATCTGCTCCCTTCGAAAATCAGACTGGGCCTTTATGAAATGCAGACTCACCATTTCTGAATTTCAGGTTGCCCGTGTCTGACTTTCAAATGTGGGGGCACCGCCTGGACGTTGGTTCCAGTTCGGGTGCCAGCGCGGTGGGCGCTGTGAGGCGTCTTGGGAGCCTCCTGGGCTGTCTTGGGAGCCTGTTGAAGGCCCGTCAGGCCGTTGCGGCGGCCTCTGCGTCCTATGCCGTCTAAGGGGCGCTGTGCATTCTCGTCGGCGCGCCTTGGGCGCCTCTTGGGATGTCTAGGTGGCTTCTTGGGCTCTCGTCTTGAGGGCTCCTTGGGGGCGCCCTGAAGGCCTTTTTGGGCCGTGTCACGGGATTATTTTGCGCAAGGGGAAAGCAATGGCGGAACACTTTCGTTTGGGGACCCATTTGGGGGGCCAAGAGTTGTCAACAAACTTGGATTTCACACTGACTTGAACCGCAATCGCTGTCTGTCGTAGAAGCCAGTAGTGAGCTTCTGAGCAGCCTTGGCAACCTGTCGGTCGTCTTGGGAGCTTGTGGGAGACCGCGCTGCTCTGGGGGGGCTTTCAAGGGAGAGTCTTAGGCCGTCTGAATAATTACAACGCCCTTGACCCTCTTGGGTGCCTCTCGGGCGCATCCATGGCTGTATTGGTGGCCAACTGTGCTGTTTTGATGGCCCCGTTGATGCGTTATTGGGCACCCGTTGGGTCGTCTTTCAGGCTTGTGGGGAACGCTCTGGTCCTTCGCGGCCACTTCTGGAGGCCAGAGATGCTCGCGCCCATTGCGTTTCACCAACCAGTGTCTTGCACGTCGGCGTCGTCACTCGTAGAAACCCAACAAAGTTGCGATTCTGAGCCCTCTTAGGGGGCCTGCTGGGCTGTCTTGGGGAGTTCTGGCAGGTTCTCCAGGGGCCTGTCGGGGGCATCCCGGGCCGCCAACGGGGCCTGCTGGACTCTCTCTTGGACGCCCCTCTGGCAATTCTCATGTTTTTGTTGATGACATCTCGGGCTGTTGTGAATGTTGCTCGGAAGCGCCTGGGGGGCCGTAGGGCCTGATTGGGAGTTCAGTGGGGATAGAGGCGGGTGGCGTAGGAGAGCGGTGATCTCTCGGGGCCCGTAGTGGTCGAACACAATGCAATTCATAATGGTTTTGCGCGGCGGCGCCGACAGCTTCAGAGACGAAAAATGAAGCCTTGATTGCTTGTGTCCCCGCGGCGCAAGTTCGGCCCATGCCTAGCCGAAGCTCTGCGAAAAACGTTGCGGGCACGGCCGCACGGGCGATCACCACTGCCTCACGCGTCCGCCGCTGCCCGAGGGCGCGGCAGGTCGCCCGATGTCGACGCAGCGTAGCGAAGGAGTGCTCGGTGGTGAGAACCCCTGCTCCCAGCTGTCTTGCTCTATGCGTATCGGCGCGGTCTTGCTGGCATAGACAGCGTTGGACGCCGATGCTTCCTCGTTCGCGGAGCCGAGCGATTATATGGCAGCCGCCCTCCTCACACTATTCGTCAGCGGCGTGCACATGCGTTTTACGAGTTTGCAGCCGTCTCAAGGTTTCGTCTGATTGAACTCCCAGGCATGATGCTTTGGCACGATGTAGGACTGTCAGGACGCAGCAGTCACGTCGATTCGCGGTGTCGAAGTTCCAGGGATGGCATTCTGGCGCGGTTGAGGGTTGTCAGGACGCAAAGGTAGCGTTGATTCGAACCGCTGAAGTCCAAGCAACTGTGTTTTTGTATGGTTGAGGATTCTCAGACAGTTGTCCTGCAACTGGGCTATTATTGTAGGGGCCGATCCATGAAATTGAACTTGGTGGGAGGATGTACTGCAACATCGTTGATGCGTTTTGGGTGTGCACTGGTCCTCCTTATCCTCCTCCTCCTCCTCCTCCTCCTCCTCCTCCTCCTCCTCCTCCTTCTGCTCCTCATCCTCCTCGTCCTCAGCATCCCTTGTTCTTTCTTCGTTGCGACAGACATCACGGCGAGAGCCTTTTGGCGGTTTTCGGCCTCCAGGGGCCTTCACCGGGCCCCGTGGGGCATTCAGCAAACGATTCAAAAGGGAAACCGGTCTTGGGGAAGGCTCTAGACTCTGGGGGTCCATGTTGTGAAAAAATGGCACGGCGTCCGAGGTCAGGGTCTTCCTTGATCCTCCATCTGCGGGCACAGCTGCTGGTCTGTCTTTCATCCGTGCAAGAGTGGCGGCGCACTGCTTCGACCTGGGCCCCGAAGATGCGACAGGATAAAGGTCGGAACCCTCGCCGCGCGTCACGGCGCCGACTCCCCCGTGACGACATGCGGGGTCCCGCCGCAGGCGTTTCATTTTCAGAGGGCGCCGGCTGCGGAAGTCGGGGCGTCGCGCACAGTCGAGTTTGATTAGTAGGTCGACCCTGCCCGAACAAGGGTACCCTTGTGTCCTGTGTTTCGCGACCCATGCCCTCTGCATTCCAGTGAAAACGTGGCCATCGGCAGGGTCTCGTGTCCTCTCGCGTGTCCTCTCCAATCCACCCCGACTGTACATGGTGCTCGAGGCAAGTGCAGGCGCAGGAACGCAATTCTAGACGCTTCGCGTATCCCCACCAGCCCGTCCAGAAACGATGCCCAGGCGAGTAGAGGGTCGTCCTGAGGGGCTTTTCGGCGTCTTGGGTGCCTCGGGGGGGCCTCTGTGGGCCGTTCGGGATCCTCTTTGGGGCCTCCTGGGGGCCTCTTGGGGCCTCTTGGGGCCATCTTGGGGCCTCGGGGGGGTCTCTTGGGGCCTCTTGGGGGTCTCTTGGGGGCCTCCTGGGGGCACCGACTGTACATGGTGCTCGAGGCAAGTGCAGGGGCAGGAACGCAATTGCGCGTCCTGTTTACCAGCCTCTTCTTGGCGGCGCGCCGATCGGAGAAGCGCGAGGGGGCAGGCCTTCTCGGAGGGCGGCGCCGTTTCTCGGAGGCCCTCCGGCGTTCTGACCAGGCCCCCTGTGACTTCGGAGACCTCCTCCTCCTCCTCTCCTCCTCCCTCCTCCTCCTCCTCCTCCCTCCTCCTCCTCCTCCTCCTCCTCCTCCTCCTCCTCCTCCTCCTCCTCCTCCCTCCTCCTCCTCCTCCCTCCTCCTCCTCCTCCCCCTCCTCCTCCTCCTCCTCCTCCTCAGTCTCACAGGGCGGAGGCCCTTTTGAGCCTTCTGGCAAGGCCCGCCCCCCCTGCCTTCCGCCCTGGGCGCGCCGCCGGTACGGTCAAGACGCTGAAACGAGACGCTGAAACGAGGACCGCTTTGGGCTCGGGAGGGGCTCGGATCGACCGGCCGCTCCTTACTCAGAAGGGAAAAAACACACAGACAGAATCAATCGTCGATTCCCGAGAAAATATGGGAGAATATGGGAAGTGGGGGGGAAGACAGAAACCCAGAAAATATAGGAAAATCTGGGGAATCCTTTTATTTGTGTGTATCTATTTGTGTGTCCTGGGGCCCCTTCACTTACTCCGGGTTTCTTCATAAGCGTGGGGGGTACCCCCCCGTCGGGGGTCCACCTCGCCTCGCCGTCGCGCCGCCACGGGGTTCGGAGCGCCTTCGG